GAATATTTAAATAAAATAAAGTTATTGGAGGAAAATGTTCAACAAAAGGAATACAAAATTAAGTCTTTGGATCTACAAGCTAAAATGGTTAAATAATCAACTAGTCATTCTTTGTCCGTTTAATCATAACTCTTTTTGGATTAAATTCTAAAAACGAGATATTATAAAGATTAGAGATCAGTAAAATCGAATTTGCAGGATTCTGTATCAGGATTGGGTTTTAAAATTTCGAAAGGACAGGATCCTGAAGGATTAATCCTGAAAATCCTCAAAACTGAAAGGCAGGATTTCGGACAGGATCCTGCAAAATCCTGTGCAGGGTCCTGTCCTACGGCGATCCCTAATAAAGACTACCCAATAAAAACGAAAAAAGAATAAAGAATATTTTGAAATAAATTTTGAAGCGCTAGGAAAAATACATATGTATGTACATATAAATTTTTAAATTAAAGGGAAATGAATCAATCGACGCTTTGAATAAGAAAATTATCAAATTAACAGAAACACAAGAAAATTTAATTTACTATGTTATTTTTAAAAGACCGGTTAGTGTTTGGGTAATGTAATAAAAAAATTATTTAGAAATATATGCAAATTAAAAATAAATGGAAGTATATTGATAGAAGACACAAATGTTGTGGAGATAATTGTGTAAATACTAATTCACCAACTGGGAAATGCAAAAATGGAAATGGATTTATTGAAATAATTAATGACACTGATATTAAATACAATAAATGTATAGAAGGGAAAGGTATTCGAAATTTTTACAAGTGTCTCGATAAAATATTAATTTAGGCGAAAATAAGAAAACAAAACTCGACGCAGAAAAGACATTTTATAAACCAAAAACTGATTGTACTTTTGCTTCATTATTTTACTATTATGAAATTAAAATCAAAAAGGGAGGAACTGATTATTCATCGTTTGGTTTTCGTAATACAAAAGGATATATTGTATTGGGAAGTAGTGGTAATATTTGGTATTCTACTACTCCAAATACTGAAATTTCATTTCAAATTCCTTCAATTTCTTGGAATGACGGAGATATTTTTGGTTGTGGATTAGTTTTTTCTCCTACAAAAATGCCAGGTAAATATTCATATGTTTTCTTTACACAAAATGGAAATCAGATTGGTAAGAAAAAAGTAAAAAATATTTTAAGTTAAAAATTATTTTAAAGGTAAGGCAATATTATTGAAGGAAGAAAGTGATAATTATTTTAAATTAGCTGCAAATTTAACTTGCCTTTCTATTGAAACAAATTTTGGCAATGATTTAGATGCTAAACCATTTTGTTTTGACGTTTCTAAACATTTATTTGCCGAGGAATTTTATAATTAAATTAATTTGTTTTTTTTATTTTTATTTATAGCATCGATTTCAAAAAAATTTAACTAAATATTATTTGTGCTAGAGACTGTATCCTATTTCGGAGTTTTTTTTATTATTCCATGCTGATATTAAAAATAAAAACAATATTTATACGCACTGAATGTGTATTTGTATAGGTTAGAGGTTGGATAGTTGGAAAGCTTCGGATATCCGAACCGATCCGGATATCCGGCCTTTTTTCGGATCCGGAGCCGACCGACAACCTTAGTGCGGAAGCCGAATGAATATTTGATTGCTTTTGTCAAACAATTTTATTTCCATCAATGAGAGCTAACAAAATTTAACAAAAAATGATGTAATGATGTAACAATTTTTGCAAAACATTTTGTACATAACAAAAAAATTTATTCAAATTTTAAAAATTTCTTAACATTCTGTTCCAAGAAACATAACATCAACAACCTCTTAAACCCTTAACAACGTGCATAGTCGAACCATCCTTTATATTATACTCATAAATTGTATAATCATCTTGGAGTTGTTTACCAGCGAAAATCTAAAGATTATTAATTAATATCAAATCAAATATTAGTTTGATATTATTTAAAAGATTATATGAATATTATTGATCAAAATTGCTCCGAGAATTTTTACTTTTAACCGATCCATTTCCCTTAATCGCACGATATTCATCCAAATCCAACAATAATACAACCCTTTTTCATTTAAATTCCCCGATATCAAACAAATCTACTTATATCCTTTTAATACCGAAAATTCTCCTATTTCCTCAATTTTCCAAATCCTCGATCTGTTTTAATCCCCTTACAAAAAATGTTCACTGACGGTTTGTCCGCGAGCCGTTCTAGAAGTTTCCAAAAAAATTTTTTTTCAAAAATTAATATTCCTTTATTTATATCAGGATATAATTTATAAATTTAATAATAATTTAATTTATTTTTCGAATTTTATTTACAAACCAAACGTTGTTGAGACGGCGGTATTCCAGTCTTTATTTCAACCATACATTTAATAATTTCAATTTTATCAGAGGTTTTCACCTTGTCGAGAATTATTGGCTCAATAATATCAATAACTTTAATATATAACTGAAACGAAATAAAATTTTTTAAAGAAAGTTAAATTTAATTTAATTTTTCGAAATAGAAAAATAGTATTAAAAAACATTAAATCAACTCGTCAGTTTCTTTCGAATGAGCAAAATTTGCATAATCGAATTTTTTACCCCAAAAATCCCTTGGTTCTCCCTGATTTTTCAATATTTATGGGCCTATATCTATGTGAGTTTTTTTTCCTAAAAAAGGTTTCATATTTGAATTCAGCTCGTCGAGAGAAATTTAATGATATATACTTGGAGTTTTCTAGTCTGTGTTTCTATACTATTGTACAACCAAGCCTCAGTGCCCCCATAAAAATTATATCTTCCATATTTTTTTAGCCTTCACTTTAATCTAAAAAATTATTAGAATTTTTTAAGGTACCTTTATTGTATTTGATTCTGATTTATTCTGTACATTGCCTGAATAACTAGGAGATATTTCCTCAAGAAAAATCTGTCTAATATCATCCAAAACTGCATTTTTCCAACATTTAGGGCAATAATTTTTCTAAAATGGAAAAAAATAGATTTAAATTTTAATTAAATTCTCTACTTGAATGATCCAATTTTTAATACAATCAATGTGAAATACATGTCCACAAGAAATTGAATGCATATTTTTGTAAGTTAAAGGTTCCGAACAAATAATACAAATAAATTTGGTAGAAGACATTTAAATAATCTAAAATTGGGTAAAAGTCCAGCTCGCTATCTATATGTCCGCAAAAGCTTTTCTGCAAAACTCATTTGTTACTGTATTTTCCTTCTTTCCGTTGATGGATTGACAACTTGGCGCTTCTGCATTGTGGCGTAAATTAAGAAAAAGAGTTTATTTTTACAGATAATTAAATAAAAATTTAACGAATATAATTTTATGATAAAATCCTGTCAAGATTTATGAAATTTCACATAGAAATTTTAGCGTAATAGATATATGTGGATTGAAATGCTATGTTTGAACGCTTAAGGTTGTTTGGATGCTTAAAACAAAAGCTAAAAATTTCTATGTGAAATTCCATAAATCCTGGCGGGACTTTATCATAAAATTATATCTGTTAAACTTTTATTAATTGCAAATAAACTCTTTCATGATTTACGTCACAATGTAGTTGCGCCAATTTGTCAACCCATCAACGGAAAGAAGGAAAATACAGTAAAAAATGAGTTTTGCAGAAAAGCTTTTGCGGACATATAGATAGCGAGCTGGACTTTTACCCTAAAATTGAATTTAAAAAATATGGATGGGTGTTCGTTTTGGTCGCCGACTTTTTTTTATCAGAAAAGTATACAGCGTAACTATTTAACCCGAAACCAAGGAGACCTTTTGTAGGCTAAAATAAGGCGAAGTCTTTCAAATAATGCAGAATATTTTTAACAATTAAAATAATTAAAATTTCAAATATAAAGCTTTATTCTGTTTATTTTTCACTAGTTTTAATTGAAATGAGCAAATTGAAGGCAGAAATTTTTCTGAAAAAGGGTAGTTTTTTTACATGATGCCAAAACAGATGCAGCCACTCAAAAACATAAAAATTTGTGGGAATATGGCACTCGGAATTAGAGATCAGGATTTTTGAAAAGCCTGGACCTGTTCCTGGACTCTGGAGTTTGATTCTTGACCTGGACTGGATCCTGGGCCTGTAGTCCAGGAAAAACCCAGGAAGGGTAAAAAATGCCTTGGACTTGGACTCTGGGTACAGGAAAAACCCAGGCCTTGGTCCAGGTCCAGCTCGATCTCTACTCGGAATTGATGATTGAAAAAGAAAATGAAAAGCAAATAATTGAGCGCTGCAAGTTAGAGCTACCAACCGACATTAAAGGAAAATTTTAGAACAATGTTAAGATTTTGCGAATGCAAATTTTAGGCTATTCAGAGTAAATAAAAAGATTTTGTGAAATTTATTAACAGAAAAAAATGATATTGTACTTATATTGTAAATATGGAAGAAAAGAGGAGCCGGCGTTATTAATGGATAAAACATTATCCTGTCAACTGAAGATGCTGGCTGAAGACTACATATATAAACACCTTTAAATTAAATATCGGCTTTAATTTTCTCTTTTTTCAGTTAAGCATTCGAATAAATAAAGAGGAGAGAGTTATCAAAACAAAAAATAAAATTCTAACAAAAAATACCAAACAAAAAAACTACCAAATTTAGAAATTAATGTAAACAAGACAAGTAAAATGATTGTTGGCCAAATAAAAATTTTACTATTTCATTTTTAGTTCACTTTTAGGCAATTGGAAGCATTTAAACAAACATACTAAATTTGAGCCATCCAAACATAAAGCTCATCCAAAACTAAAAATTTTATTAAAAAACTCAAAAAAATTGTTAAGCAAATTTGTATATTGAATGTTTAGCATGGAAAATCATAATTTAAGTTTCGATTTGGATAACAAGTGAAAATCAAAGAAACCAACAAATTTTATCAAAAAATCGTTTATATGTAGAACATTTTGTATCAAAAATAAATTTATTCAAAAACAACTCATATTTTTAAAAAGTCTTAACATTTTTCTGTTCCAAAAAACATAACATCAACAACCGACTAAACGCTTAACAAGATGCAAAGTTGAACCATCCTTAATATTGTAATCAGCCATTGTACGACCATCTTCAAGTTGTTTGCCGGCGAAAATCTAAAAATTATTTTAATTAATATCGAATCGGGTAATATGTACAATTTGCTAAGACGTATGTATATTTAAAAGAATAAAAGAATATTGGTCAGTCTCTAGTTCTCGGCGATTTTGGAACTAGAGAACATGATTTAGGAGCTTCCAAAAATGAGAATTAAATTCTTATTAAATTATTTATTTAATATTAGTAGAGGGTAATTTTAATTTACAAACCAAACGTTGTTCAAACGTAGGAATTCCCAGCTTCATTTCAAGCATACACTTAATAACTTCAAGTGTATCTGAAAATTTAACCTTTTCTAGAACAGTTGTTCCACCTGAAGTATCTTTAACATACAACTGAAATAAAATAAGATTGTTTAAAATTATAAAAACAGTATATAATAGGATTTTTGTAGAAGTTACAAATATAAACCTAAATATTTATTAAAAGTGTCCCACACTTTTTGACAGACATATTTTAAATTTAAAAAATTATTGATACAACATGAATAGATTTTTATGCTCTATTTTATATCAAAAAACCAAAAACTAAATCCATATATTTGGAAAATATTCGAAGAAGATTGGGTGTTCCCAATATTGGATTCTATAAACTCATTCAAAAAGGCGTCAATGCCTACCTTCATTATGTTTGATTCAGTTTTAATTTGCACATTGCCTGAACAACCTGAAGATTTTTCCTCCAAAAAAATTTGCTTAATATCATTCAAATTCAAAACATTCCAACATTTAGGACAATACTTTTTCTAAAAAACATAAACTAATTTAAATTTTTAATTAAATTTCCTACTTGAAAGATAAATTTTGTAATACAATCGCTATGGAAAACGTGACCACATGAAGTGGAATACATATTATTAGAAGTAACGGACAGACAAAGCACGGACGAAACCGGACGAGCACGGACGAAACCGGACGAGCACGGACGAAACCGGACGAGCACGGACGAAACCGGACGAGCACGGACGAACACGGACAGACAAAGCACGGACGAAACCGGACGAGCACGGACGAAACCGGACGAGCACGGACGAAACCGGACGAGCACGGACGAAACCGGACGAGCACGGACGAAACCGGACGAGCACGGACGAAACCGGACGAGCACGGACAAACACTGACGAGCACGGACAGACAAAACAAGTTTGTGTGTGTCCGTCCGTGTTTTGTCTGGTGTATGTGCTTTTCTGTCCTCTCAATTGAATATGCCAAAGGTAAAAAGAGTGGAATTGAACGAGGAAGAAAAGACTGACCATTATTTATATATTAAGGTTGGAAAAAAATGATGAAAAAAATCAAGGCGCCCTCTTTTTAGGAAAGGGCCCTTGGCATATAATTTTCAATATATCATTCGAAAGAGCTGTTCGAGCTGAGTAGAATGATACTATGATCGGTTAGATTTGGCGAATCTGAACAGATTTATGAAGCTAAATCCTCGAAGGACGTGCTTTTTGTCCAGAACAAACCCAGAATCTTAGCCAATTAAGCAGGATTTTAGTATGAACAACACGATAATATTGAATGTTTTTCTAATAATGTTCTGATAAATCCTGTTATGAATTATTATTCACAAATCCAGAGTTTCAGTTAATTAAAGAATTCTTCAAATAAGATGAAAATTAAAAAAAGTTAGGGCCTAAATAGCTGCCTCTTTCATTTCAGTCGAATAGAAAGACGAGGAGTGATCAACATGAATATGGCATCAATTGACATAAAATTGTGATGGAAAAATTATCTAATTTTTGTCCATTAATATCGATATCCGCCTCTATACTTTAATATTTTCGATTTTTTAAATATTTTATTGAGAACGTGAAGGGGAAGGATGTATAAAAGAAAAAAATTGTTCGAGTATGGCAATGCTAGACGAGAATTTCAAAATTATTTTTTATCTATTTTGTGTCGATCACATTAGCTCCACCCATTTTATTCATTATAAAGTCAAATTATTTACCGTGGAAATTTTTAAAAATACATAAAATCCCTTCACAATTCCTTCACAAAACTAAAAATTCAAAACAAAATTTAAATTAAAAGGAGGAATAAAAGATTTCAAGAAAAGAATGCTTCGGCATTTTATTTTCCTTTTCATTACTTTTTACATTGTAAAAGGGATGAAAGGGATTAAACGAAAGTTTGATGGAAATTCAACTCAAAATGAGCAAAAAACAAACAAAAATGTTTTGTTCATTTCAACAAATCATCGACCTGATCATTTTAAAATGAATTGTGCTTTTGCAAATGTTCTGGCTAAACACTACAATTTGGTGTGTTGATATTTAAATATATTTTTATGTTAAATAATTAGTATGCTCAAACATGCTCAGACATTCCTAAAAATAGTTATGTAAAAGAGTTCTTTAACCGAAACTTAAGGGCAGAGAGATAACCCTATATCAGTCACTGATATAAATCAACAAAACTATAGCTCTCATTAGTTTTACAGAATCGGCACTTTTCGGTACTTTTAGTATGATATAGTAAAACATTTGTTCTCAGTCAATTATGCATAAGTTTGGTGGTTTATGTTATCCGGAAGCGTTTACGTAAATTTTCGGTTCGGGTATCGGTTCCGATTCTGGACTTCCGAAATTTTCGTTTATGTTTCTTTCGTAGAGAGGAAAGAAATCTGCTTATTTAAATCCAAAATTTTCGAAATTTCGCCTACGGCGCTGAAAATAAATAGATCTGGCCTATTGCAAATGTAGCGGTGTTGCCCCCTCAAAAATTATTTAAAAAAACCACATATGCATATTCCCTAATAATTAAAGTTTGGGAATTTCTAAATGAACTCTAATATTAGTTTCACCTAAAAAGAATAATTTAAATAAAATATTTTTATTCACTTAGCATTTTGTTATACTAAATTCCAAAAATGAAAAAGAATCAGAAATTAAACCATTCAAGCAAGATTATGGAAAAAGTTATGAAATTATAGGATTTAGTGGAGATTTAATAAAAGAAATTAAGAAAAATAGGGAGGAAATGTTTGAATATTTTAATCACCAAGATATTGTAATGAGAAGAAAAATTTTAGAAATTGAGGCTGGAATTTTTCAAGGTAATATAAAATTTAATTTTTATTTAGTTATTTATATTTAATTATCAACAACCACACGGTACTAAAAAGATTGGCAACTTAAAATTTTCTAAAATTTTATTAATTTTTTTTATTAATATGTACATATTTAAATACTATTCTCCTAATTAATTCTTTTTAAAACATTGAATATTTATCTTTTTAAATTCGAGTTGATTTAAAGAGATCCGACATAAAATTGGGATTTTTGAATAATAATCCTGGTCCCGACTACAGGAATGGGATTGGCCAAAATCGGGATTCAAAAAACCGGGATCATCCCGCCGGATCCTAATCAGGATCCAGATCCTGCTCAAAAGTTCAGAAAACTATAAACAAAAATTAACAAATTTTAGAAATTTTTGAGAAAAAAGTGTTTATTGAAAAACATAAGAAGATTAAATATGAAATTGCATTTTTTGATATAATGGATACTGGAGCACTTTTTTTATTCGATGACTTGAAAATTAAAAATGTTTTTGCTATAAACAATAATCCTCTTTTGACTTATCAATTTGAATATATTGGAAAAATAGTTCCAAATAAAATACCAGGTTTTATAGTTTATTGAAATATTAAGGCCAACAAATTTTGTAATTTAACAATTGCAAATTTTGCAAAAATAATTTTGTAATTTAAATATCTGTTATACAGGCTCTGAAAAAAAAAGCTCTGAAAAAACTCTGAAAAAAAATACAGGCTTTGAACTGTATCCATTTTCGCAGCTTATAGGATAGAAGGAGCCGTGTTGAACAGCAACAGGCTCCTTAAACCGTCTGATCCTCGATCAATTCAGAACCCCTTTTATTGCACAAATACTCACTTATATCCTACAAATCCTAAAACCCCTTAATCCCCATACATCTTAATAAACCTATAAATTTTTGGAAAATTTCGGTATATTGGGCGATTTGAAGTATTTTGGAGAAAAATGGAGATTTGTGGGAATTGACGTCTATTTATGGTGATGTCACCTAAATACTTAATCCCTTTATATCTTCCCAACCCTCTTGATTTTAATCTCTTTATATCACTATTAATCCTTTTTCCAAATTAGTTTACCAATTTGGAAAATAACATATGTTTTCTTTTTGTTTTGTGGCATTTTTCGTCTATCATTTCCGATTTCCGACTTTTGAGCCATTTGCGACAATATCGATTCCAGGATCCTTCGTCATTTCCGACCAACCCTGCGTGGAAATGAAAGTGACGCGGGGAATTGACTCAAATTTGAAATTTTTACCGATAATATTATAAGCATAAAACAAAGCTTGAGAATATTTTTTATAATTTAAAATCAATTTTAAGAATTTTACTCAACAGACATAGATTATTGGAGGGTTTATTGTTTTGAAGACGCATATGTAGGATATAATAAATATCAAACCAGATTTAGTTATAATCGTTTAAAAGAAGAATTCAAAAGAATTCACACAAAAATGGTATATTCATTTTTTATTAGGGATTTTATGGGTCGGCCGTTTCCAAAACACTAATTTGTAAGCTTCGAAAACACTTAAAAAGGTGTAAAAATATGGCAAAATCGGTCAAAAATTGGGTTTAAAAACTTAAAATAATTTTTTAAATATCCTTGACATTATCCATTAGTTTTAATTGACTTGAGTAAATTAGGATCAGAAATAAAAAGATCATCTGAATATTTACTGTGGCTAATGTAGGATTACCGATTCAGAATAATCCTCAGTTAACAAAACCAAAAAATTTGAGTTTTATATATTTGAAGTTCAATGTAGTAGACAAAATTTTTGAAAAAAATTTATAAGGCCAAGAATCCAAATTTCTGTTTTATTTGCGCCGCAAGCGAAAATTTTTAGAATTTAGCAAAAAAAATTTACTTTTTGAGAATTTTTCTAAATTATTTTACTCCTTTAAAAAAATTTTATTCTCTCCCTTTTATAAAATTTAAAAAAATTTGAACAATATATTTCAATCTAAAATTTCAAGTTTAAGCATTATGAGCCTATGATAATCGGGAAGCCCATGATAATCTTCCCGTTTTCGGCTCCTTCTAAATATGGGTAGTTGCTACCAAAAAGTACCTTCGTATTTCCTTTGGCACACTTTTCATAAATAAAGTTTAAATAATTATTTACTAATTTTAGAACAAATTGTATAAAAAATGGGAAATTAAATACTACAATTTTCTTCAAAAATT